TGTATATGCTATCTATGATCTTAATGTATATGCTATCTATGATCTTTGTGTATGTTACAGTATCTGCAACAACTATATGCTATGTTGATATAAAATACTTTTAGAGAGATTATATACCAGTTTACAGGTGCCGTGATATAGAATTCTACCCCCAGGTTGATACAATTTTCAATTTTATAATTCTCCAAGGCAAGAAGATATCCTTGAAACCAATATGAGCCTGGGTATAAATGGGGGTATGTCTTGCAAATTACAAAATCCAAGATTTATTTATTTAGGTATTTTTAATTACTACTTAAACACCCATTTGTCTTTTACATATAAATTATTCGGTGTAAACGCTACACCGAAGATATGCCAAAGCAGTCGCAACGTTACACCAACATCTCACCCTCACCCACGCCAGGGTGTATGAATTAGTTAATTGCAAAAATTCCACTGTTACGCCGTTTGATGTATTCATATTGGTAATTATGTGCCGCCATGTTAAAAACAGCGTAGACCACTAGTCCACTACGTACACCAGAAAAGATGATTGCGTGCCAAGGCTTACTGTACCTCTACGCCGAAGATCTTCCGATTAGACTACACCAAATGCACCCTGGGGTTTACCTCATCAGGAAATGAGTAGACATTATCAGTGGCGTGCTCGCAGGGGGGGCACCCCCCCCCCCAGCTGGCAATTCTTGGAGGGCGCAAAAATGAAAAGGGGGTGCCAAATTTTGAAAGTGGGTGGGAAAAACACACTTGCAAACATATAGTTACTCCCTCCAAGAAAAGATGTGTTTAATTCATAGGGTTATAAACAGATTAAGTGCATAGACTGCAACAAAGTAATATATTAAATTGCAGATTGTTTTGTCGAACCGTATTTGCTAATTTGCTAGCCTACCTCACGCCTCACACAAAATTGTTTATATATGATCAGTGATCACACGCAATGTCTCACTGCCGGAATATTGGTCAGGTTTCGGAACGATCACAGGAATTATGCCCTTTTTTGCTGGTATTATGCCCTTTATTATGCTTCACGAATCACGAGAGTGGCGCAAATTAGATAGTTTTTATATGATAATATAAAGTTGTGTACACAATTTAGTTGTTTGTGCAAGAAACATCATGACTCATGAGTAATGTAAGTGATAAGATGATGCTGAAACGCGCCATTTTGGTAGCCAAGCAAGGAACGTTAACCTTAAAATGCATATGCGTGGGGTCCGTGTGTTATTGTATAAAGGAGCTGTAAGTTGTAAATGTATTCACATCACTAGATCAGTAGAGAATATAATTGGGATTAATTAGATTAATCGCTGGAATTAGTTAGCATTGCCCAATTCAAGTACTACTACTAAATTCTATAACCAAATTGCAAATTTCGACACGTTATAATCCCGTTTCCTGACCATCAGATTTCTGTCAAACCTTCCCCACAAAGTCCAGGAAATGGCATTTCAGAGACCCTAAATTCAAAAATTTTCTGAGGCGGCATGCCCCCCGGACCGCCCCCCCCCCCCTACATAAATCGCGCACCTGCAGCGCTCGGTTCGTGCCTTTGTCCCTCGGTTA